GGAGGGGGGCTGGGGTATGCACGCACATGGCATCTGCCTGTCCCCTCTGCAGGGGGCTAGCGATGAATAGGGGTGGGGGCTAAGGGAGGGAGCATGCTCCCTTAGTCTTGGCCGTAAAGAGTTGTGCTGGCTCAACTGTGGGGACAGAGGGGGGGGGGGGGGAGGTTGCATGTCCTGAGTCTTGGGAATAAAGTGGGGAGAAGCCTTCTTCTACCACCGGCCCCTCAACAACAAAAAGCTGCTGAGACTGGACTGAGCAAACGTTGCACCCAGCTCTTCCCCTTTGCCCACGACCTGCTGCTCCCAGCTCCCAGCCAGCCTTCTCTCTTTTGCAAGAGGAGAGCAGTGGAGCCAAGATGCTCGAAGGGACTTCTGCCTTCTGCCTGCATGTGCCTCCCCCAGGCAGGCTGGGGACGGGGGCTGCATCTCCCAGGTTGCCTGCAGCATCCTCGCCTCTCCCACAGATGCCACAGCCTGAGCCTGATCTGCTGTGGGAGCTGGTGCCCTGAAGACCAAGACTGGGAGGGGAGGGTCATCCCGAGCGAAGCCTGTATATATCTTACCTTTTCTGTCTTGTGCAAACTGGGGTAGTGCAGGGGTTGCTTGTTGAAAGCGAGGTGGGGAGGGGTTGCCCAGCTGGGACTTGCATTGTGCAAAGGAACTTGCCCTGAGTGACTGATGCCTGCTGATAACGCAAGCCTTGAACTGACTCCAGCTGCAGAAGCCACCAGGCTGGCAAGTGAAGCTGAACTGCTCCATCCTCCTTGCTGGACATCCTTCTCCTGACGGATGATGGGCAGGATGAGCAGGGGGGAAGGATGTCATTGCCATATTATGATCTTGGTGCCTGCACCTTTGTTCAATGTCTTCTGCAAGTATATTGATTTGGGTTTATTTAAAAGTTTATTTTCAAAATTACTTTGCACAACTTGGTGGATTTTTGGTGGTGGTGGTTTTTTGTTTTTGTGTGTGGCTGTTTTGTTGGTTTTTTTTTTTTCTTTTTTTAAGAAAACACTCAATGCACTTGTCATCTGGATACAACACTGTAGCATTGGAAATGTTCTTACTTGGTAACCCCATCTAGGTCTTGCTTTAAATTGATTTCAACACAAGACAAAATAAAACCACTGTATCTTTTTTTCCCTCAAAAAAAAAAAAACCAATGCTCCTTATGCAGTGAGTATGTCAGACTTCAGTACTAAAGGGCAGTTTGAAGAATCAAGGTTTATTTAAAACTTATTTTCACAGGGTAGCCAGCCCCAGTGAAAATAATTCTGTGTTTCTCTGGTTCAGAGAACAAATGTATCCATTTATGTTTGTTTACTTTCCTCCCCTCAACAGTGGTACTGAGACTGTTTTTAATAAACTGACATGGCAAAAATTGAGATGTATGTGATGTTTACATAAAATTATGAACTGTGTATGCAGTTTTTTATGTAAAATATTAAAAGACTCTATGCTGACACTTGGGAGAGCAGTGGTGTGATTTATGGAAACTGTCCTCTGCATGGAACAGTCTACCTGGGTGGTGTGGAAAGGGTTTGCCCCCTGTCTGCAAATGCTTTTGTTTGTGTTTTCTCTTGGCTGCAGTACCTGTCTGGCAGCTTTCAGAGGCTGAGGAGGTTATTTTACTTTGAGGAAGCTGCTCCCTTAATTCTTCTGTACAGGTGGCATGTGGACGTGTGCCCCACTTTCAAGGTGCTGACTAACCCATCCTTGCTGCTGAGCACAAGCAGCATCTGTGCCTGGTGGGCTCAGGCTCCCGGTGCTCCCTCACCCCCTACCCTTGGCTGCCTCTTGGTGACTAGGGTGAGGTTTGGGCTTGTGTAGCAACAAAGCAGGCAGAAAACTGAAAAGCAGCAGTGGAAACAGGGCTTATTTTTCAAGCAAAGCATTTAACTAGAAGTGGTTTTTATTAGTGAACTGCACTTTGCTTGGAGTGAATCCCTGTTTGCTGCAGCCAAACATGCGGACAGGCTTTGCTTGCTGTTGAATCTGAAGCAGAAGGCTTTGCTTGTGCTGCAGCAGTCTCCTAAGTTGCCTGGCTAGGTTTCCTAATTGCTGGCCTCATTAATAATAACTCATTAGGTAGCAATGTAAAAAGTCCAGGTCTCTCCACATCAGGGATCCGCAGCAGAGCATTGTACCTGCCCATCACTCACTGTCCTGTGTTTCCTGCTG